AACTACAGTCAGTATGATACTAAAAGATCACGCGTACACACATGTGAAGAGAGGTAAGACAAAAAATAGAAAACTAAATACTAAAGAAAACGAAAGGACTAGAGCCTTAAGTGCACCCGACTTAACAATCAATTGTAGGGCGTTGAACATACAGTGAAAAGCATCTGTGATCGTCTTTTAGGAAAAAATTCGGGAATCGATCTCATGTTTTGGTGCATCAAGCCAAAAGCAATGGCTAAAATGGAACAGGCGTTTGTTGCATGTTAGAATACTCAAGAGCAAGAGACAGGAAAGGTATTCACCACCATTAAGCTATTCAATGACAAACAACAAGAAACCCAATCATTTCATTTCATCTTTGTGCTCGATGAATCAGCCTCAATGACAAAAGAATGGTCTACTTTACAAAATGCTTACGCCAGATTCTTGATCCAACGTATTAATGATCAAGGTGAAGACGATTATTGTACTGTAATTCAGTTCGATTCCACTGCACGGACAATCTGTCAACAACTACGTCTTTTCAGTGTGCCTCGTACTCTGACTATGCAAAGTGGCAACCACTCTCCTTTTTGGAAGGTGTTCTCACCTTGGGAGTCTACGAACGCTTATAATAGCGACTACAGTGCTGGTTTAAATGAAGCCAAAAAGGCAATCACCGCTGATCAAACAACATCATGGATCGCGATGATTTTTATGTCAAATGGTGGCAATAGAGGCAGTGGAGATCCCTCGGCAATTGAAGGAGCAATATACGGCAAATCATAATTTCTTCTTTCACTGTCGGTTTCGACTCTGGAATTGCTCAAGGAAGTTCAGCAGCACAATTACTTGCTAACATGGCATCAGTTGGTGGTGGTCAAGCATATTCAGGATTGACGTTTTCTAAGTTACTGAATTATTTTCATATGATCACTGCAAACAGTGATCCAACGAAAGCACTCGTCGAACGAGTCTCGGCAATTTTAGCACATGAAATCCAGCTCCAGATCATGGTCGATTGTCTTTGAGCTCATATTTTCTTTTTACATATTAAACTAGATACATAAAGTTGAAGAGTAGATTGCAACACGGTGACTATTTTTTTTATCATGAATAAACTCAAATTTCAGAAATGAACTCAATTCATATTTGCTGACAAACGTCTCGTTTCGGAGTGTCGAATATTGACATCCATAAATACGAAATAATAAAAGAGTCTAGATCAGCGATCATAAATCCATCTGATTTGATATTATTAGCCCTGTTTAACACTCACTTTTTTATTGATTACAAGGTAAGAGGGTGGGTGAAGCTACCGTAATCATGATTTCATCCTAGCCAATGAACTCTTCAGACGGCTTTGGCTGTGTACCTGCTCGAAATAATCAACGATCACAAACAAGGCACGTAACCTATTCTCATTCTAGTAATTCACAAGAAGTTAAAAGAAAGGATAGGCACCGGTATAATTCACGGAATCTGAAAAAGAAACAACGGACTTGGCAGTTATGTAGAGGATTTTGCAGGGTATATTTAAAGAAATTAGCTCGACAGGATGAAAATTGGCAAAGTTATGGTCAAAATACTGAGACCATTTCCTTTTGCATAACATTTTTCCAATGACGTTAGCTTTCTTAGACTTTATTAATGAAAAAAATACCTTAACACGTACAAACTTTGTCTTTTTGCCTTTTATTCTTTTCTTTATTATCTCGATTTTATAATAGATTAACAAAATAGTAATAAAGATTTGCTCTTTTTCCTCCTCTTCCAAATCCTATCAACTCAAAATAACAATAAATAAGAAAAAGAGTACAAGAAAAAACAAAGATGTATGTGTTTTAGTATAATGACTTCTAGCAATCAACGAATCGAGAAAAACGTCAATCTCAAAAATGTTCTACCGCGTCAAGATGAATCAGTTTGACCTTTTGAAATTACACTTGAACCAACAGATAGCTTTGAAGGCGACATTGATACTAATATTTGTCGCGCTGTCGATTCAGACTCTACTCAATACTCAATATCAAGATCATTTTTCACAAAGATGACAACAATTGAATGTCCTTATTCAGAAGAGATACTAACGACAATAAAAATATCAGTGTTGAACTACATCAACAATCTTTCTCGATCATCAGTTATCTTTGTCGAATCTAACACAGTTCGAGATATTGTAGATGCAGCATTCAAAATAAGAACACAAGTCACTCAATGGTACGAGATTTTTATCCTTTTTAATGTTCTTATGCATTATCGATCGAAGCCAAACGATTCCAATCGAATCAAAGCTGCTCGTGACATTGTCGAATATGGTCTTCAACTACTACGTGATCTTATTGTTATGAGAAAAATTCTTGAACCTACTTTTGCTCGTATTGGTGTTCAAATTTTGATCAAAGAGATGACGCAACTCGAGAAATGTTTACTCTCGTTAGCTCTAGGAGATTATCCAATGGTTCAATATATTCTATGTCAATTAGATGTCAGTACCATTCGAACCAAATACGCTTTCAAACCTCCTTCACGTAGGCTTGTTCGTGAAAAACGATCTAGCTATAAACCGGAATATTCTGTTCTTCCATCAATAAGTATTGTACGTGAGTCTACTGGAGCAATGGGTCTACTTGTATCCGTGTTCAACAATAATGATTATGCACTGAAAAAGATGATGAGAACAAACGACAATCAACCGTCTAAAGACAGTCTCAAATTGGTCAAAATGAAACTGGAAAAGATGATCCAACGAAATGCTGATCGAAACCTACAAACTAGTGTACAGAGTGTAGCGAGTGAAATATTGGATCAATTCACATATCCGACGAAACCAATATTAATCAGTGATGAGGCTGGTCAAATTTACATGTGTTCAAACAGTACGAGTTCGATTCATGCGATCAATGCTGATCTAGAAAAGCTGACCAACCATCTAAACAAAAAAACAATATTTATTTAATAACATATAGAAATAACATCATATAGGATAAATACCGTTTGCAAGTTGTACCAATGTTGCACCAAATGATTGTGGATATTTAATATATTCATCACCAGGTAAACCATAATCAAGAAATGAAACATGAATTTTACTGGAAAGAACCATAAGTTGTCCGAGAAGATTAATAGCAACAGGAGCAGATTTAAGTAGATTATGCAATCTTTCATCTATTATCGGTTGACTAATAATTTGAAAATTTATTCCATCTGAATCTAGAACAAAAAAATTATTATCATAATAAACAAAAATATTATCGAAATAAAATTTGAAAATATATTTACTTTTAATAGATTTTGAAACATCTCGACGTTCTCGTTTCCTACTGTTATTATTATGATTATGATTATCATATATTATTTTATTAATAAACGGATCATTATATGGATTTAAACTTGAATCAGCAGGTAGAAAAACATTTGTTGCAAGTGAATATTCAATTGATTCGGATTTTTCAACAATATTAAATATAAAAAATATTTGAAAATACATAAATAATTGTCGATCTATAAATAAAATTCAAAAAACAAAAAACGAACAAAACATTAAAAATAAAAAAAGTAATTTTAATTTATTTAATCGAAACTTACTCATTTTTATTTTCATTCAGTTCACTATTAATTTCTTGTTTTTCACGATATTATCTAGAATGTAACACTTAGAACATCATTCAATGAAAGTAGATAAGATTGCAGAGAAACACAAACACACACACACATACACACACTTGGTCTTTAATACAAATTAAAAAGCTATGCGGGAGACTGTTGGCAGTCTTTCAGATATTTTGAATATTTCTCCACAAAATGAGATGTGTATATCGATTTTGGTAATTGTGCAATTATCTTACGATTTTCTTTCGTTCTTTCAATACAAATATTGTTTGATCAACGGAACACAAAAACTTAACACAATATTTTATCTTGCATCTAGAAGCAAATATTTCTTTACAAACGGATATAGTTTACAGTTTTTCTGCATTCTTTTTGACTACTTTCTGGTCGTCCTTTAATCGGTTTTTGAAGCTATTTCTAAAACGATTGTATCATAATTTATCAATGCATCGTCCAAAGTTGAGACCCATCTCATTTTCTGGGAAAATGTTCAAGGTATTTGAAAAGATGTCGATAATCTTCACATAGATCTTAATTTTATGGCGAGTCTATTGACACAACCAAGACGTGTCACTAAGGGCCATTGACACCTCTTAGTGATGTCAGCAGCCATTACCGTTAATTCAATGTCAATAAATTTTCGAAAATGTTTGAAAAATGGGAATCCTTACTCGGACAAGCCATATAAATGTCGAAAAAAATTAAAACTAAAAGAGGTAATCAACGGCATCCATGAAAATATGACAACGATCCATAAGAGCAGAAAGTAGCCGATAAGTACGAAGCAAACAGAAGTACACGTGCATACATATATAATATTCATGGGGGTTTTGGATTTACGCCAATCGGCTTGGCACTTCTCTGCCAATGATATAAATGGAAAATTTTTATGCCAATTGGCACTTTCAAAAAATTTTTCGAAATTTATAACCAGATGAATGCCAAATTCACTGCCGAATGAAGTGAATTGATGTTAAGTTATATTATGCTTTGCCACAGTGAATCTGACTAATAACTTCTAGAATCAGAAGTGCAACTGCACACAGTGACTGTGTAATATGTAATTCAGATAACATGAAGTGAAAAGTCGATGCACTATAAGCTATTAAATATTTTACAGAAGTAGGAAAAACGACTCAGTTGCAACTGAAGTAATTATATTGGTGTAAAAAATAAATTTTTATATTGGTATAACCACTTTTTTTTTATACCAATATTGGTATAAAAAATTGTGTTTATGCCACTATTGGTATAATTGGCATAAAACGTTTTGTTTACACCATTGGCAGAAGTGCCGTTGGCAGAAGACCAGTTGGCGGAAATCCATGAGTTCTATTCATGTAACTTTTTTTATCTCCTTCATCGTTTTTGCACTTCGATATACTACTTATAGTCGATGATTTGCTTTACGAGACAATGAATTGCTGTTTTAATAGATGTGTTAGACATCAGAGCTAACTTTAAAACTACAAAACAAAAATTAATGAAACCTGGTGTTTAGAGGTTTCAAACTATGCGCTTTCTTATGGAGATGTTGAAAATGATTGAAAACTGCTAGAAAACTATGGTTTTTGAGCGGGCGTTTTTTAATAAAAAAATTTTCCTGATATCATTTTGTGTTGAAAATTTTCTTCATTACTGTATCTTGTAAAAAAATATTTAACAATAATTTAAAGAAAAACTATCAAAAACTCTCGTTTCCTTACTTTTAAATTGAAATTTTAAAATTTTAAAATCCAGCTATTTTTAAAATCAAAATTTTCCAACTTTTTTTACAGTAGCACATATTTTTAAATACATGGATGGCGATATTTGAAATCAGCGTCAAAAACTGAGTCGAATGGGTTGTTTTTCAAAAGTTTTCGATAACTTTCAATTTTCTTGGTTTTTCAGAGTAAAAAAACCGAAAAAAATTAAAAGTTTTCGATATAGTTCAAATATCGCCATGCCTTTGCTAGAAGATTTGATTTTGAGGGTGAAATACGCCCGCAGTTTCTTGCTTTTTGCCACTGTTTCCCAAAAAAATCAATTTCTCAGAAACGAAACAAAATTTTTAAAATCTTGCAAACCGCTACGTTTCTTCGATTTTTCATGGCCTTTTTAATGATGTATCTAAAACTATGTGCTACTGTAAATAAAGTTGGAAAATTTTGATTTTAAAAATAGCTGAATTTTAAAATTTTTTAAATTTCAATTTAAAAGTAAGGAAACGAGAGTTTTTGATAGTTTTTCTTTAAATTATTGTTAAACATTTATTTACAAGATACAGTAATGAAAAAAATTTTCAACACAAAATGATATCAGGAAAATTTTTTTATTAAAAAACGCCCGCTCAAAAACCATGGCTTTCTAGAAGTCCTACTTACCGATTTTTTCAAACACTTCCAACACCTTCATAAGAAAGCCCATAATTTGAAACCTCTAAACACCAGGTTTCATTAATTTTTTATTTCTGCTTCATTATGAAACCGGCTTCAACTTTTTGATCTAATACGTCTGTTGAATTTTTATTTTTAGCTTCAATATTATAAAACATTACACCTTTAACATTTATAATCAGCTTTAAAAACTCTTTAAATGACAAAATTTATACGTTACTTTTGCAAAAGTTAAGTTATTAAATATGTTGCTTATAAATGAATAAATGAAACGTTTAGTTTTTCTCAAGTAATAAAATTTCTAATTTGCTCAAATAATATAGTGTCTGTTCTTCTGAGATGTACTCACGGATATATACTATTAGTTTGTTATTTTAACCTAACTGAATGACGATATATATGACATCTAGGCCATACAGAGACAGAGAAACGGAATAGGATGGAAAAAATCAAACACTATTATTTTCTTGTCTATGCCACCATGATATATCAAATATTAGATTTCTAAAATAAAAAATAAAAAAAATAACTAATTTTATATCTTTAATTAATCAACTATTTTCCGTTCACAATTTATTTAACAGTAAATTTTTTGTATACATTGTAAATCTCTTAATTGTCTTTTGCTTTTTATGTTAGAATAAAAAATAATCGAAAATAATATGGAAAAAATTGAATGTTTTTCGCCTGGTTTTTTGTTTTTTTCGACAGTAACATTTTTTTAGCTTTGCACAAAATTTGTTTATTACAATTCATAAAAATTAAAATTGAAACGTTTTCATCATTCTTCCGATTTGTTTCGCTTTATCCCCGTCACCCCATTGTTGTGTTCGTGCAAAACTTCTTGTACAACAATTTTGAAATTTCGAGATGGCAGCCATCACCTGCTCCTTCCCTTTCGCTCTCCTTATATTTGTTCTTATTCCATAATGTCTTTATATACAATGTCAAATGACATAGAATTCCTTTTGTTTTTGTTTCATAAATAAATTTATTTAAAAAAATGATGTTTTACTTCTCAAGGAGATGAGAGAGAGAGAGCATCTATAGTGAGTATCTAAAAATATTTATTGTCAACCACGTCTGCCTTTGACACGACCAAGTGGTTTTTTATCATCAGTAATTGCACGATCTAATTTTTTTATAAAATCACCTAATTCTGTTTGTTTTTTGTGTACAACACCATGATAAATTGCTTTACGTTGTTCAAATAAGTGCACTAATTCTTTTTCAGTTGTAATTGTATCATTTCTTAATTCTTTCAGATATTGTTCTCCTATTGTATCATTGTATGGCGCTATCCTTTTTGCGAGACCACCAAGTTGTCGTAATATATATTTACTAGATATATCAACATATGTTTTTGATGCACTAAATAATGCATATGATTCTATATGAATCTCAATTGCAGATTCTTTTATTTCTTCAAGAAATGTACGATCTTCAATTTGTATAGAATTTGTGTACAAAATAAATGATTCCACTCGTTTGTTACGCAGAAAATTAGCTCTATTAGCTATTTTCTCAAAATACGAAGCTAAGTTGCTCCAGTGTTCACCTAATTGACCTAACACTGTCATTGCTTCCTGTAATAATACAATTAAATCGTCGTAACTAATTTTTGTCATATTAAGTACGCTAATGCTAACAACAAGTTCAATCGTTTTGTTGTGATGTTGTTTAATTTCATTCCACAATTTCTCATACTGTTGTTCAGCTTCACGTAGCCGAGTCTGAGCTAATCCAGCTTTATATTTTGCATCTCTTTGTCCATCAACATTACCATGTTCAATTAATTGCGGAATAGCCTTAAGTGGATTAATTGAATGTACTACATTAATGAATGCTCCTTCAATTCCTGTCTTAATTTCATTAAGAGCATTACTATATTGCTGTTGCGCTTCTCTTACTGCTTGTTTGCGTTCATTATAACGTTGATCTAACGTGGACAATTCTGTCTTATGTAATTCTTTTGCAATTGATAATGCAGTTAAATTCTTTTTAATATTGTCGCTGTTTTTATTACTTTTAGTATCGACTACCTTTGTTAATGCAACTATTTTTCCCGTTAATACTTTTAAATAAAAAAGTTTATCTGCTGAATTATTGGCAAATTGAGCACATTCATGAGTTGTTGTTTCAATATTTTCAAGCACTTTTGGTAGTAATCTTTCAATAATACGTTTCGATCCAATAGTAATGATTTTTAATGATGTTTTAATATAACCTGGTATAAGTTGCATGTTCAATTGAATTTTATCCATATTTGAATGAGCTTGAAAAAAAGCAAGAATGTTTGCCAAAGCGATCAACTTTAATCGAAAGATATGAAAAAGTTAGTAGTAACGTTGCTTCGATTATATCCGATGAAAATCTTGACAATCGTCCAGCTCTCGAAACATCCGACAAGCGTGAGCAATGGACCTATCATTTTTTTATCGAGATCCCAACTATTGCTCGAATGATCGACCTTACTATAAAAGAATTTCGTTCTCATTGGGAAAATCTCAATCTATCTGGTAAACATCAGATCTACTGGTGTATTATGGTCGATAATTCAGGTTCGATGGTTGATCATCGCAATATCGATTATGAAGTTCTCGTAGTCATTATGGAAGTATTGCGTAAACTCGAAAGTAAATTCGCTGTTGCACGATTTGGTTCGCAAACTCATCAGAAGATTTTAAAAAATTTCAATGATCTATTCACGAATCAAGATGGGCAATATGTTCTCGAAGCATTAACCTTCAATGAAGGAACTTATCCTGCGACAGGATTAGCACGTATTGCTCATAAAATTTTTCCCGTTACAGAATCAGCTATACAACCGAATATTGTTGTTCATCGTCTTGTTCTCATGCTTACCGATGGTTTGACACATGAACGAAATTATGCCAGTTATTTGACTACGATCTATAAGAATCAAATAAATCTCGGTTTCATGTTCATCGAGACAGCCGATCAGAGTAGCAGTCGAATTCTGCTTCGAGATTTGAAGCAAGTAGAAAATTGTGTTCTCAAAACAAACAGCATTGCCGAACTTCCTCTCGAAATATCGGAACTTATGCATAAAATGATTAAGAAAAGTCTAAAAATAACATCAATACTATCATTACAATCACGTGTGGAAATATCATCAATGATCAATATTAAAGTACCGAATATCAGAGAAGTTACACTCTTCAAGAAGCCCCGGCTAATGAACAAATCTACACCAATCTAAATACGACTTCGTGCATAATCAGCACTCCAACAGCAACTATTCTCAAACTGGCTCAGGTAAGTGAATAAATAACGATGAATTATCTTGATCATGTTGAGTAATAAAATCTGAAAACTTTCGACAGAGAAATCCCTATGGAAAATCTTTGATATTTCAGCGGCAGATCCTTGACAGATATGATCAAGATCCTGCAAGGATTCGCTATTTTTTCCTGAGGAAACGACTAAATCCTGAAAGAAATGTGTAGTCACGAAAGTGTAGGATCCTGCAAGGATTTCAATACTTCAAAATTGAAAAATAAAAGGATTTCTGCTCAAATTTTTCAGGATATAGCTAGGTTTTCTCGAAGATACTATCAAATTTCTTCACAGGATCCTTGGAAGATTGAACTAGGTTTCCTTCAGGATGTTATCAGTTGCTTGGCAGGATCTTTGCAGGACTTTCTATAGAATATAAGATAAATGAACACATAGAGTATCGATCTCTAGACCTTCGGTTTACATACCGATCAGCTTACCCAGCTGGATGTGCCATGTCATTCTA